GATTGTGCTGAAGTTATTTTTATAATGCCGCTGGATAACAGAATTTTTGCCCCTGTGGGATGCTGGAAGTTCTTGTCTTCCCTTAAAACTACAGAATCAATTCATTAATTTGTGAAGGAGTTGACTAACTTGGTCACAGATGGCTTCATTAATCCATTAAACATAATGAATATCTTTTTCGAAGGCAGGTTTTCCATTTTGGACCAGAAAGGTCTGAATAACAGATAATATCACCGGATTTATTACATGGCTCTTTCATGCAATCCATGGGAGGGGTCACTGTGGACTCCCAGCAGTTTATTAAATGACCCAAATAAAGCTCAGTAGATGTTCCCAGAAGAAGAGAGGAACTAGCAAAGCATCTGGGATGAAGCATTAATTCTTTGCTCAGTCCTTTTCAACATGGGATCATTGTGCATCATGAGCACCTGCCGTGGTCTCAAACACAGTTTGGTTAACGTAACTATTTCCATGTCCTTGGTCGAGTGTGGTCAATTTCCTGCTATTTCTTTTTTAGGAGTATGTTTATTTTCCCCCATTTATGAATGTGTGATATTGGTTGACAATGTTATTTTTTTTTTTTTAAGTTGAGCAATGCAGAATACTAAACGCCCAGTTATTTCAGTCTGGAGAAAAATATACAAAGAAAAGCAGTTAGACTAATCCGGGAGTTACAGCTCTCAAAATATTTGCGAATATGACCATCCTTCTCCATCTGTTTCTTATACCATGAACCTAACACTACATATACTGTATTGGGGTAATTTCAAGAAGCACTCTGTATCACCTGCAGTGTACTGTGAAGTTTTTGTGTATAAATGTTTGGGTACACTATGCTCTAAGTCAGGGGTCTCCAACTCCGGTCCTGGAGAGCTACTATCCAGTCGGTTTTCTATCCTACCTGGCTTCTGATGAGCCACACCTGTTCTCAGGTAAATACCAGGAGCAGGTGTGGCTCATCAGAAGCCAAGTGGGACAGAAAACCTACTGGATAGTAGCTCTCCAGGACCAGAGTGCTACTGTGCAACCAGAACTGTTCAAATGTCTGCACACATACTTCATGTCATTTCATCAAAATCAAAATATTCCTTCATGGTTGAATAACTGAACTACATTATACGGGGTGGAAAAACATGCACAAAGTGGATTTTGTCATTTTATTAAATTTTCAGCTCTGTGAATGTTTGTGAGAACCTTCCAGAAGGCTGCCTTCACCTGCATAGGTGTCTGGTTATTTCACACTGGGGTGAGCGCAGTAACCTGCACGTTAATAACAAGAGCGGACGTAAGAACAAATGCCACTTCTGAGCTGTCTTTGATGTCTTGATTAAATTTTGCCGGAGAGCTTCTCCTGCCTACGGCAAGGCAGAAAGGAGAGCTTTCATTTATGGGACGCTCAAAATGATTTTGAAAGGCTAAAAGTGCTGCTTGCACTGCGTTTGGGGTGGGGCCCACTGTGCAGCACATCCTGATTTTGCCAAGTTTGACAAGGGAGGGGCTTGTATTTTACTTCTTTAATCAGTCAGAGTCTTCATCGTATGACATCATTGCATAACCAAAACCAGTGTTTTCTGTTAAGCAGCAAGGTGCATAGATTTCTAAAGTGGGTGTTTTATTGTATATGTCTTCTCTTGAGGGACATAGATAAACAGACAGAACATAGATAAACAGACAGAACATAGGAATACGCTGACCTGCAAAGGTTCTACGGAGCAATGTAAGGGTGTATTTTAAATGATGATGATGATGATGATGATGGTGATAAGACTTGATTCAGCACCCTTGTGATCACATGCACAGAGGCTTAGCCTGCTGAGTCACAAACTGTCCTTGGCCTGATAACTGGAACCCTTGAGTTTGAAAATGAGAAAAAAAAAACCAATGTGGTAAAGTCATGCGATGTAGACTGTGATTGGTTAAAGAAGTGAAATACAAGCCCCTCCCTTGTTGAACATCGAACATCGAACTCGGAAAAATCAGGATATCTCCACTTTGCCCATTCATTGTGTATTTGTTTTGTGCGAGGAAAGGGAAAGCTATCTTCAAATGGATCCAATTAAGTGGTTTAGCTGTCAGCATGAAATGTGTCCTAGAAGGCTTCCTACCTTCGTCAGATGTTGCATTTATTATTCATAACTGCTCATGCTCTGCCCTTATATATCTATAACATTATCTGTAGCTCAGTGTTTCTCAGCTTGGCCCTCCCAGCTACCAGAAAACATAGTCTGTCTGGTAGTTCCTGAGGACTGGTTTGAGAAACATTGATGTAGCTTCTATTCATTTTAAAAACCATCCCAAAGTCACCCCAGTATTTGTAGTAACAATCTAGTACAACAGACATACTCAATCACTCAATCCAAATTACATTTTGTTTGTTATTTCAATAGTCAGGCGAACAGATCTCATACCATACTTGGTTAATCTAAAGCTGATCAAATTAGTTAATTTATTAGTTGACTGATGAAGTGACCTTAGATTTGGTTAGATTTAATGAGTACACAGAATAGCTGAGGTGCCCTCGGAAGAGGTTTGGCAACCTGTTCTTCTGACTTTCCAACCAGATATCGATAACTTTTAGGAGAACAGAATAAATCCTTGTCATTCTGTTAATTGTATTACAATTCCACCCAGCATACTGTATATACTGCCCAGATAAAAAGCTTTCTTTGACAGCCTACCCCTTCTGGGATCATTGTACATATAGATCATACATTTATGTGATATGTGAGATTATTAATCATCACTTGCATGTGTTGTGATTCCCACACAGAGGCCCAGGGAATAATTTTATAAAACTGGGAAATTAATGCATATTCCCAAGCTGCAGGGCATGTGGCTTCTGGCTAAGATTGTAAAGCCTAATTAGACCTGGAAAATCTGGAGGAAGCTAGCAGTAATGCCCGTGACAGAAAGACTGCAGGTTGACGGCCCTGAACTGCCGCTGATTACATCTCAAGCCGGGATTCAATGCAATCTGGCCTGAGTAGCGCCAGTCATGTCGGCCCCTCATTACAAGCGGAATTTACACTGTCACCCAATGAAAAAGTGGAATTTCTCCATTTGTTTGCTCAGATGTCAGGGGTAACAAAATGGCCCTTGGGGCCCTAGACCTCCACACACCCACAATGCCTCACTGCAAAGCAGCAGCCCATTATTCCACGGAGCAAGATGTAGGGAGTTTCTATATTTAGCTAATTCTTTAAATTGTGTAATCAAAATAAATGATAAAAAACTGGATAACACTTTAATTTAAGATCTGCTCTTTATTTATTAATACATTGACTAAGTTAATAAATATGAATACATTTACTAATAAATATATTAGTAAACAAAAAGATTCACTTACAATCAAATTTAGAAATGTACTACAAAGATATCTCCTGTCTCACAAGCTATTAGAGCTTGTAAATGCTCAATTATAACTCTTCTCAGTATGCTTACTAACCCATTGCTTTATATTTGCAAGTCATTTGCAGGCAAATATGATTGTAATAAACTTCTAAATTTGTTTGTGAATGAATTGGTCTATATTTTAATATATTATAGAATAATCAAGAACTATTTACTAATGGTTAAGGAGCATCATCCTGGTGGGGGAATCGTCCCCCCCTTGCCTACCCCATGTTGTTCTCCGTGAGATTCACAGACACACTTGCAGCAAATCTGAGGCCCCCAGTCCGGAGTCGGTCGCCGTCCAGCGCTTCTGTAGCTGGGGGTTAGGGTCTTGCTCAAGGGTCCTACAGCAGCATCAATCTGCCGGCCCTGGGATTTGAACCAAAAATTTTCCAATTACAGCTACATAATTGTAACTCGCGCTAGCACATGCTGCACCCCCAATTCACTAATTGGGCTTTGATGACATTAGATTACCCAGAGTTCTTCTTCCTCCTCGTCTTCATGCCTGTGAACTTCTCAGGTGTGAGAAATGTGAAGGTATGGGAGTGTGGAGCCATACCAAGCGCTATCGCTGACCGTAATGAAAGCGACCGCGCACGGTTCTGAAACCACAGGGTCTTAATTAGGACAGATAGCTTCCAATCTGGGTCCTCTCGCTTGCTCTCCCACAGACCTACACTTATTATATACAAAAAAGGCTGGGGAAGCGTGTGGCTCAGCGGGTCTTTTCCATAATGCACGGTTGCTCATTTGCACAAACCATATGTAACCCAGTAACATGCTGTAAATAATAGATTCTATCTATATGTTCCTCACAAGTATACGTTTGCATACATGATTAATATAAAATATTCTCATGTTTATTTCCTCTACTCATCATATTCTAATATTTGTCCTTTTCTTAGTTTTTAGTTTCATTGAATATATATATTTAAAGAGACTGTACTTGTCCAGTTTGTGAAATGTTACGTGTCAAAACAAATTTCTCATATGTGTAACATACTTGCCGAAATAAAGTGATTCTGATAAAAAAACATCTGTTAAATAAGTAAAATGTGATACACTGATGTGCTGTAAATAGTTCAAGAGTCTACCTTAATTAAAACAACAGACCGTGTACCTGTACTGTGAGCGGAACTCATAAATGACAACATGCGAACAGAATCAGGCTGAGGATGCAGCAGAAACCTGAATGGATATTACCTGATAGATAGGTACTGTGTTAATGCTGAGGGAAATTGCAGGTTTACAGTAGCACAATACACACATTTAGACAGTAAAAAGACATTTAGCCATTAACAGACAGAAACAATAAATGATTATAAACAGTAATGGTCATTGAAAGTATTCCACGGAATTCTGTAGTAGCGGCTCAGTTTCCAGCCAGCGGCATGCACGTTAGGTCAGTGGGTAATCACATCTGCATTTATACTTTACTCTTTCCCCTTGGCGTAACCGTTTTTCGATTTGCAGGTCTAGCGTAGCTCAGCAGCATGAATGGGAGATGTTCACTGCAATTTCTGGATTTCTCTGAGTCTCCTGTCGGATTCCACTGTACTCAGCTGGGCTTTCCTGACTATCCCCTCCCCCACCTGGCCATGCAGGACGAAGAAGGTCAGCCACTGCTACCGAATCACTTACCGCCACATGGAGAGGACCTTGACCCAGGAGGAGGTGCGGGTCGTCCACCGGGCCATCGAGGAGGCAGCGGAGCGAGAGCTGGGCATACAGGGGAGGTTCTGACCTGCTGCGCACCCCCACAGAGTTGGTACAACCTGTACAATGAAGCCTCGGGCCTCCTGTGTCATCCGTCCAACAGCGTTGGACTTTTCCTGTCCAATTAACCATCAGCCCACTCTGGTCGCAGAGGGGCTATTTAAAATAACTCAGTCATTCAGATTCTGAGCTTGAATGGAAATGTTTTTCATATCTTTTTGATGAACTCTTAGCCTCTCTATCCTGCTGCCATTTTGCCCCCAATAGAGGCTTATTCGGAAAATAATACATAGCCAGCTTAATGGTCTTGTATACATTTGCCTATTGGCTGTCTAAGGCAGCCATTTTTTGGTTGACTATGAAGCTATTTCGCTTCTAATGAATGAAATGGACAGAAATCTTGTGTAATTCTTGGCAAATGTAGAAGACTTTCTCCATAAAATTGTAGGAATTCACTGGAGATTAATTTACTTCTGTCTCCACGTCATTTTATTCACAAAAATTAAAGTTTCAGAGACTGGCTTTTCTATCTCGTCTTGTTTTTGGAGATGCTTAATTGTATGTGTTCTTGTCATTTGTGTTGTGGGAGTTATTGTTAGACTGGGATTTACTTGAATTTGAGTGTCCAAGTTTTCATTTGAAGAAAGACAGAAGAACAGATCTCATTACGGTGAAGAATTCACCAGTTTCATCCAGGCATGTATAAATTTCAAGACAAGTATTGAATTCAGTTAATGTTCCGTATTTATGGCAGTAGGATTTTTAGCTATTTCAATCCCATTTTAATCCACCCACTTGTCCAGCTTAGGGTCACAGGGGTGTCGACATAAAACTCCAGGAAAGAGAGCAATGCTGTGAGATTACGGTGCTGCCCACTAAGTCGTCTGTTTATCAGGTAATCTTTTCATTTAATTGAAATAATAAATCCAAATATAATAAAAAATATTGGTAACACTTTGCTTAAAGCCATATTTTTTATTAATTTATAAACACATTCATAATGAATTCATAAAGCATTATAAACATGGCTATAAATATTTACAAAAAGGCATAATACATTATAGTCATGTTTATAAAGCATAAAGACTGCCTTATGAAGCTCTCATCTATAATGAACTACAGATACTTTTTCAATGCCGTACAAAGCATCCTTAATGCTTATACTGACCATTATAATGCATTATAAAGGTATCTATAGTGCATTATAGATGAGATAAAGCATTCATGATGGCCTTAAATAAAGTGCTATCAAAATATTTAATTAGCAACTAATTTGCTTGGTTTGGATATCAGGCTCTGAAAAATAAATGTGATTATAGAGATTAAGCCTGTGAGCTTTGATTTAAAGAGTTTTATAAAAATCAAGATACATGCTGTTGATAGCAGCAAAGTTTCCTAAAGTCATTCTATTCCTTCCGCCCACTCCTCCCTTTTTTCAGGCAGTTTATGAAGTCCCAAAACTCAATAGCTTTGGTGTTTGCGGAAAAAAGTGCATAAACAAGCATTCTAGAAGACAGACTGCCACAGTCACATAAAGATTTTAACTTCTGCCGTGGTTCTTTAAGCACGAGGGAGAAACACAAACTCAAGGCACTGCCCCAACCCGCCGATGAGCGTGACACCGCTATCTGACCTGTCTCCTCTAAAGCGCATCGTAATAAGAAAAAGTGTCAAATAAGCAACATTTACATTTTTTTTTTTCGAAAAAATTTATAATCAACCCTTATTACATAATGAATAGTGATAAAATCGTCAATATCAACTCAAGTTTCTCAGTCAAGCCAGCATTTCCAGTCCTTTCTAGAGATATTAGGGGGTAGTATGTGGCTCAGTGAGCTAAGGCTCTGTGCCTGTGATCAGAAGGTTGCTGGTTCAAGCCCTTTGGTGTTTTAACCCCTGGGTGCCTCAAGAAGCAGCTATCTTTTGTGTCCAGCTTGATCTCATTTACTGAGCGCAATTAGGGGAGATAAAATAATTTCCCCACAGAAATCAATAAAGTATCAATTATTAACCCAGCTAAGTAACTAGCTAGTTAGCTACTTAGTTAACTAACATGTGTAATATGTTCATCAGGTTTGGAATTATGTACCAAAAAATTCAAATCAATATACGTATAATAGACGTTTCAAGTTTACAACGCTCACTCTCATAAAAACTAAGTAAGTATTTCGGCTTACGCCGTTAGCGTCCTACTTACGGACTATATGGGCGAACTAGTTTGGTTACGCAAGGTGGAAGAATAAGCAGTAACGCCATTTTGGACTGTTAAAAGCTCAAGTGCTCCGTTTGTCAAGAGGAAAGCCATCACAATGGAAGTGAAATTAGACATTGTAAAGAGATCAGGAGAAGGGTGTGTTTGGATTTACACCAAAATTCGGGTTACGTCACTGTCGTAGGAACGGAACTGTTTCATAACCCGAGGACCCCCTGTAGTTACAAATAATAGATAACAAATGTTAGGTTTTCTTTCTCTTTATTAATTCCTTCCGTTTATAAATTAATGGTTTTGTTTGCAGGTGTCCTATCCAGGGTCTCCCCTACCATCTGCCCCTGTGCATTCTGGGATATTCTCTAGCCTCACACCATCTTGTCCTGCATAAGCCATATAGAGCATGGATGAAATGTTTAATTTCTCTTCTGCTACTCTGGCTTCTCTTATAAAAAGCCCATCACGCAGATCGCACTGAGCCTTTCTGGGGAAAACAACAGCGTCTTTCTGAAACACTGGCCTCCACGCCGCTAACGAAGACCTGGGGGGGGTGTAGTGCAGCTAGCGCAAGTTGTGTCTGTCTCTGAGAAATCATTTTGTTGTTTTCCATTTCTTTTAAGTGTCGTTTGCTGTTCCTTCACACATCTCATGATGCATATCATATTATGCCAGCGCCCACTCCCAGTATTAATATTCACACTTGATTTGTGCTGGTGGTGATGAGAATAAATATTTGGATTTATATGATATATAGTGATTAAGCTTTGTAATGCACAAAGACTTCATGACAGATAGGCGCACAGACTGGCCAACAGATTTTTTCCAGGTGTTTAGGATCCTATTTGTTACAAACTGGCATTTTTTATATGCTGCTACATTGTTTGAGCGGTATATTAATAGGGTGGCAGCTCCAGTGGCTGAACATGGCTGGTCCTGTACTGAAAATTCAGTGGCTGTGGGTTCAAATTTAGAGTTTGGCGATCAGCGGTCATTGTTGGCACACCATAGCACTCAGTGCACAACAATGAAATGCATCCTCTGCATTTAACCCATATGTGACATAGCAGGGGACAGCTAATTCAGCACCCAGGTTGCTTGGGGGAGGTACCTTGCTGGTCAGGGATTCAAACCTGCAATCTTTCAATTACGAGTGCACTTCCCTAACCATTAAGCCACCACTGCCACGAATCGCAGGCAGCATGCATAAACAGTAGTAGCCCTTCCTTGCACTGTCAGTGTGGATTAATTGAGTGTTAGGTACATGATCCCTTCCAGGGATGTGGGTCTGAACAGGGATGTGGGTCTGAACCCCACCTCTACTCTGCATGTGAAGTTAGCATATTCTCTCCATGTTTGTGTGGGTTTCCTTCCACAGTCCAGAACCATGTGTTTAGGTGAATTTGCATCTCAAAATTGGCCATGGTACAGTATGTGATTATGTGTGCTAAAGCATCATTACAATACATTTTTTAAATGTAAAACTGTACCCTTAGAGTAGGTTTAGCATAACAGCCATGATGATGTCAGTGATAATTGCGATGTGTTTTTTTAGTTTGCTGTATCAACCTGTGGTTGCCTCAAAACAACTGGATCAGCATCTGCAAAATCACCTGGTTTTAAGATGCAATTCTTAAAAGTCGTTAAGATGGAATTGTATTACGGGCCCCCAGGTGTCCTTGACTCACTGGACAGTGCTGGGGGTGTTTAAGAAACTCCCATGCATTGGGAGGGAGACAAATCTGTGTAATTGCTATATTAACCTGTGTCCTGCAGCACAAGCAATAGCACATAATACAAAAATGAATGATGTTTTGAATCCCAGGCCTTTCTTTGTGCAATATTTTCTTGGCTGAAGGACCATTGTACTTGGCAAAGGCGAAAGGGATCCTCCATCTGAATTTCCCAGAGGTCCAACGCTGGAGTGATGCTAGATCTCATGTTGGATTGCAATAGCAACTGATGGTTGCCATGGAAATGCAGATCGCATCGCAGTCTTCTTTACAACAAGGTTCAGATATGATTGTGCTGTTGATAGTTAACACTTCTAGGAAGGGGAAGCCTTTTTCCCTTCGAAATGTAGAATTATTGTTTTAAATAAAATTTTATAAAAATTGGTATGCATGGTTTTATTCCATCTCCTTATCCTTTTCCCAGTCATATTAAAGAGGTTGCGTATATATTAATTACAGTTCCAGTCCTCTGCAAGGTAGAAGTCAGACAGTTGACTGACAGTAGCAGAAACAAAGGATATTAATGTCCGTAGAAGGGTCAGGAGATGCTAAAAACATTGTACACTCACCTAAAGGATTATTAGGAACACCTGTTCAATTTTCCATTAATGCAATTATCTAATCCACCAATCACATGGCAGTTGCTTCAATGCATTTAGGGGTGTGGTCCTGGTCAAGACAATCTCCTGAACTCCAAACTGAATGTCAGAATGGGAAAGAA